CTCAGATCCACACTGCAAGAAAGGAAGACACACAGACAACATGAAAAAACAAGGGAGGAAAATGCCCCAAACAAACCAGGACACTATAATAACAGAACCCATGGACAGCGAAGTTGATGAAATGTCAGAGATGGAGTTCAGAAGGTCCATAGTTAAAATATCTATGAATTAAAGAATGACCTAAATGAGCAAATACAAGCAAAAATTGTTCACTCTAACAATGAGATAAGAGAGCAAATACAGGTAGTAAAAGATTACTTCATGAGAGAGATTCTAGAAAAAAAAAACAGTCAAAAATCCTTGAGATGAAGGATATAATAAATCAAATAAAAAACTCAGTAGAAAGCATAACCAACAGACGAGATCACTTGGAAGAAAGAATATTAGATAATGGAGACAAATTATACAATCTGGAAAATAAAGTTGATCACACAGTGAAGATAGTTAGAAACCATAAACAGAACATCCAATAATTATGGGACAGCATGAAAACAACAAATCTAAGAGTTATTGGGATAGAGGAAGGCACAGAGTTTCAAACCAAAGGAATGTACAATCTCGTCAATTAGATAATATCAGAAAATTTTCCAAGCATGAAGAACGAATTGAAAAAACAAATATAAGATGCTTACAGGACACCAAATGTACAAAATTACAATCGATCTACACCAAGGTACATTATAATGAAAATACCTAGGATGCAGAATAAGGATAGAATCTTAAAAGCTGCAAGAGAGAGGAATCAGATCACACATAGTGGGAGAAAAATTCGAATATCAGCGGATTTTTCAACCCAGACCCTCAAGGCCAGGAAATCATGGAACAACATATACCAAGCTCTGAAAGGAAATGAATGCCAACCAAGAATCTTATATCCAGCAAAACTAAGCTTTAGATTTGATGATGAAATAAAAACCTTCCATGATAAACTAAAAGTTAAAACAGCTTACAACTAGTAAGCCTACACTACAGAACATCCGCAGCAAAATATTCCAAGAAGAGGAAATAAAAAACAGTGATGGAAATCAGCAGAGGGAGGGATTACACTAAAGGAAAATCTAATCAGAGGAGATTCCAAGTCACATTAAATACCAAAAATAAACAAAAATGGTTGGGAATACAAATCATGTCTCAATAATAATACTGAATGTTAATGGCCTAAACTCACCAATCAAAAGACATAGATTAGCAGATTGGATTAAAAAAAGAAAAAGAAAGACCCAACCATATGCTGCTTCCAAGACACTCATCTCATAGAAAAAGACATCCACAGACTGAAGTTGAGTAGTTGGGAAAAATCATAACACTTACATGGACTGCATAAGCAAGCAGGGGTTTCCATCCTCATATCAAATAAAGTAGACTTCAAACTAAAGTCAATCAAAAAGGATAAAGAAGGACACTACATACTGCTTACGGGAACCATACACCAACAAGAATTAACAATTATAAATACATATGCCCCAAACAATGGAGCATCTACATTCGTCAAACAAAATCTTCTCAAGATTAAAAGTCAAATAGACCACAACACAATAATTTTGGGTGACTTTAATTCACCTCTTTCATCACTAGATAGATCTTCCAAACAAAAGCTGAACAAAGAAACTATGGAACTCAATAATACAATCAGTAACTTAGACTTAACTAACTTATATTGAATATTTTATCCTTCAATGAGAGAATACACTTCTTCTCAGCAGCACATGGATCATTCTCTAAAATAGACCATGTACTATGCCACAAAGCAACTCTTAGCAAATATATAAAAGTAGAGCTACTACCCTGAATTTTGTCAGATCATAATGGAATGAAATTAGAAATCAATGATAAAATAAGAAATAAAATCTACTCCAACACCTGGTGATTAAATAATATGCTACTGAATGAACAGTGGGCTACAGAAGACACCAAGGAGGAGATTTAAAAAATTTTATAGGTGAATGAGAACACAGATACAACATATCAAAATCTCTGGGACACTATGAAAGCAGTTCGAAGAGGAAAGTTCATGGCATGGAGTTCAATTCTCAAAATAAGAAAACGTCAACAAATAAATGACTTAACATACATCTCAAAGCCCTAGAAAAAGAACAAATCAACACCAAAAGCAGCAGAAGATAGGAAATAATTAAAATCAGAGCTGAAATCAATGAAATTGAAACAAAAGAAACAATTGAAAAAATTGACAGAACAAAAATTTGGTTGTTTGAAAAAATAAATAAAACTGATAGACCCTTAGCCATGCTAACAAAGAGAAGGAGAGAGAAAACCCAAATCACTAACATACATGATGAAAAAGGAAATATCACGACAGACACTACAGAAATATAGAAGACAATTAGAAATTATTTTGAAAACTTGCACTCCAATAAAATAGAAAATATCGAAGGCACTGACAAATTTCTAGAGTCATATAATTTGCCCAAATTGAATCAGGATGATACACAGAATTTAAACAGATCAATTTCAAGTTATGAAATAGCAGACACCATCAAAAGTCTACCAATCAAGAAAAGCCCAGGACTGGACGGATACACAGCCAAGTTCTACATAAGACCTTTAAAGAAAAACTAATACCAATATTCTTCAATTCATTTCAGGAAATAGAAAAAGAGGCAGCACTTCAAAACTCATTGTATGATGCCAATATCACTCTGATTCCAAAACCAGGCAAAGACATATCAAAAAAAGAAAACTTCAGACCAATATCTCTAATGAATACAGATGCAAAAATTCTCAATAAAATTCTGGCAAATCAAATTGAAAAATATATCAAAAAGATCATGCACAACGATCAAGTGGGATTCATCCCAGGGATGCAAGTTTAGTTCAACACATGGAAATCAATAAATGTAATTCATCACATCAATAGAATGAAAGATAAGAATCACATGACCCTAAAAGTTCCACCAGAAAACTTCTAGAATTAGTAAATGAATTTAGCAAAGTATCAGGATATAAAATCAATGCCCATAAATCAAAGGCATTTCTGTATATCAGTGACAAATTCTCAGAAAGGGAAATAAAGAAAACTACCCATTCTCAGTAGCCTCAGAAACTTGGGAATAAATTTAATGAATGAGGTGAAAGATCTATATAATGAAAATTACAGAACCCTAAAAAATGAAGTCAAAGAAGACCTTAAAAGATGGAAAGATCTACCTTGCTCTTAGATAGACAGAATTAATATCACATCAAGATGGCCATACTTCCAAAAGCACTCTACAGATTTAATGCAATTCTGATCAAAATCCCCAAGACATTCTTCATAGAAATAGAGAAAGCAGTTATGAAATTCATCTGGAAAAATAAGAAACCCAGAATAGCTAAAGCAATCCTTAGCAGGAAGAGTGAAGCAGGTAGCATCACTATACCAGAACTTAAACTATATAGGACAGATAAATAGTAACAAAAACAGCATGGTATTGGCACCAAAACAGACTGATAGACCAATGGTACAGAATAGAGGACACAGAGACTAACCCACAAAATTACAATTATCTTATATTAGACAAAGTTGCCAAAAACATGCATTGGAGAAAAGATAGTCTCTTCAAAAAATGGTACTAGGAAAATTGAAAATCCATATGCAACAAAATGAAATTAAACCCCTATCTCACACCATGCACGAAACTCAACTCAAAATGGATCAAGGACTTAGGAATACAACCAAAGACTCTGCATATAATATAAGAAAAAGTAGGTCCTAATCTCCATCATGCAGGATTAGGCCCCAACTTCTTAATAAGATTGCTGTGGCCAAGAATTAAAATCAAGAATCAATAAATGGGATGGATTCAAACTAAAAGTTTATTCTCGGCAAAAGAAACAATCTGTGAGGTGAATAGAGAGACTACATCTTGGGAGTGAATCTTTATCCCTCACACATCAGATAGAACACTAATCTCTAGGGTATATAAAGAACTCAAAGAGTGAAACATCAAAAAACCCAAATAACCCAATCAATAAATGGGCCAAGGAGCTGAACAGACACTTCTCAAAAGAAGATGTACAATCAATCAACAAATATAAGAAAAAATGTTCATCATATCTAGCAATTAGAGAAATGCAAATCAAAATCACTTTAAAATTTCATCTCACTCCAGTCAGAATGGCAGCTATTATGAACACACACAACAATTAGTTCTGTGAGGATGTGGGAAAAAATGTACACTCATACACTGCTGGTGGGACTGAAAATTGGTACAGCAAATATGGAAAGCAGTATGGAGAATCTTTGGACAATTGGAAATGTAACCTCTATTTGACCCAGCTATCCCTCTCCTTGGTCTGTATCCAAAGGACTTAAAAACAGCATACTATAGGGACACAGCCACATCAATGTTTATAGCAGCACAATTCACAATAGCTAAACTGTGGAACCAACTAGATGCCTTTTAATAGATGAATGGATAAAAATGGAATATTATTCAGCAATAAAAGTGAATAAAATCATGGCATTTGCAGGTAAATTGATGAGATTAGAGAAGATAAAGCTAAGTGAAATTCGCCAATCCCAAACAATCAAACACTGAAAGTTTTATTTGATATAAGGAGGCTGATTCATAGTAGGGTAGGAAGAGGGAGCATGGGAGGTACAGACAAACTCTAGATGGGGCAGAGGGGTTGGAAAGGAAGGGAGGGGGCATGGGGTTATAAATGATGGTGCAATGTGATGATCATTATTATCCAAAGTAACATGATGAAGACATGAATTGGTGTGAATATACCTTGTATACAACCAGAGATAGGAAAAATCATGCTATATATGTTTAATAAGAAGTATAATGCATTCTGTTGTCATATATAAATAAATTCTAAAATAAATAAAATAAATATAAATTTCTTAGAACAACAACAAAAACTATAATTTGTATAAGCAATGAATGAATTATTTTAGTATATAATTAAATCTATAAATGTATGTTAAATATACAAACTAAAATATACAGAATTATAAACATAAATATGTATCATAGACATAAAAGTCATCTTACTGATTTCAGCAGCTATGACAGTAAGATTGTGCCATTGAGATAGTTCACGGTCAAGTGGTTTTGATGTGTAAAGTGATCCATTTCCAGAATGTATGTTAAATATCCGATCGAGGTCAGTATGGCGATCCAAAGAAAATCTGAACATAGAGGGCAAAGAAAAGCACATGGCAGTGTTATTGAAGTGTTACAGGAGAAAATGGTAAAATTCAAAGACACACATATTACTAATAATTATTGGAAGAAACACAGTACTGATCTAGAATGTAGTTTCATGAGTTAATCACAGAAAAACACTCACTCTTTCCAAGCATGAATTGGCACTTGGTTCTGCATTGAAATGCTAGTCTTCTAAAATCTCTGCTCTTAAAATCATTGTCTATTTTCATGTGAACTAACAATGATATATTTGACCACAATATAGTATACATTACATGTGGTTACATTGCTTTATTTAGTAGTGGAGAATTACTGCAGGAATCCATTGCAACAGATCAATGCCAGAAGCTCAGATTTTCCTTAATGACAAAATTGGAGATAACAGTAGGCTCATCAAACGGGTTGGGTGTTTTGGAGCTTCAGGGTATGATATATACATAGCTTCAGTTTCTAAACACATGTGTTATAAAATGTATAACTTTAAAATAGTACAATTCCAGATGAGAAATCTTCATACATCTGTATTAAAATAGGCAGCAATTGGTTATTGTGGCATTGTATTGTATATCATTCTGAAACCTAATACCAGGTTTATCAATCTTAATGATGTCATTGGGATAAATCCCATTTTAAAAAAATCATACTACAGGTTTTAGCCTTCACAAATAAAGCAAATAATTTTATCCCTATATCTAGAATAATCTCCAAATTCCACCCCAGATTTACAAAATTAATTTACTACTGAAAGATCCAACATAATTTTATCTCCTCCTTATAGTCTTCCATGAACACCTAAATTTCAAGCATCTATCTGCTTCCTACCAAAAGTAACTGTACAATTATATCTGTCATTTATCTTATGTATTTGAAATTTGTTTCATTCCAAATCTAAAACAGGAATTTAAACTTGAAAACAATGTGCCTACTGACCACTATCATAATATATCTACTACTGTAACTTTAGTAGGCAGTTAGTGAGTATTATTTGATTCTCATATTCTTCTCCAATAGAATGAAAACTCCTTGAATAATATGCTAATATCTGATATGGTTATCTACAAATATTTATCCAATGTAAGAAAGAATGACAGAATTATTAGGAATTTTGGCAAATAAAAGTTCCCTTATTTATATAGAAATGTGATGTGAAGTTGCAATATGTTCATTAATAGAAAGCTTTTGTTATCATGTACCATGATTTTGCCAAACACAGTTTTTGTGTTTTTCTTGATTAGTTTTTTGCAGTTCAGTTTAAAGAAGTAATAATAAGATTTAGAGTATTATGTGATATTATCTTGAAGATGCAGAGAAACTACAGCCCTTCTTTTTCAAATATTATTCAAAATATAATTTTATTTTCTGATTCTTAATCACCAAATTATGTGTTAACTTTCATTTTTCCTTTAAAATCATTTCCAAGATACATGTTTTCAGTAAAAATTTTGATTACTGCATTAGCATTAAGAATATATGACATAATTTGTAACATGTCCAGGATGATACATAAATACATTAAACTTGCAAGGCTATAGGCTATTTTATTTCTTTGAATATATAAAATTGTCCTTTTATATCCACTGGGGATTAGAACCAATGCACATGCTCCTTTAAATCATTTCTAGATTGTTTATAATACCTAATATAAGGTAAATGCCATACCCTACACAAAAATGTGCTATACTATTTAGGAAATAATGACAATAAAAATGTCTTCATACATTCAGTACAAACAATATTTTTCCAAAAATTTTCCATTGATTTTGGTTAAATTGGCAGATGCAGAACCTGTAGAGTATATAAATTTACTACATATCTGTGCATATTTATCCACAATATTTCATTTATTTGATTATATAAATAGTATATCACATGTATACATTGTATCTTCTTGTTCTACAAAAATAATAAGATATAAGAGTATGCCTTCCTACTTTCTACAACAAGGTGATACAAAGTCATACCTACTGGCATTGTATATTCTAAACATGAATGGACTCTTCCTGGTCCTTTGATTTGTATTTTCATTAAAGATTATATTTATTGTGTTTTTAAGTTTCTACATATAGGTTTTAATATAAAATAGCCATCAGTCTATGTGAGGATGGAATGTATATTTCACTTTGTGGAGATATGTCTTTATATCAGGACTTAATACTAGTCAACTTAATTTTGTCTCATCAAAACTCTGATGTATCATTTTTTAAAAGGACCATTTTGAAATCAGGGACCCAGAAAAGAGACTACTGAAGTTAGTTAGAATTTCTGCCAAGAAAATGCTTGGTAAGTATTTAAGGGGTAAAATTAAACATGTATATTAGTTATTTTAAAGCTTAAAGAAAAATTCAGGGAATGCAGCCACTTAGATGAAGACAACTGGACTGGAGGGGTGATATTCATAGGGAAGTCCTGCTGGCAGATGGGAGTAATGTGTGAATATTATGTACAGTTTTCTTCTGCAGCACGTATACTGTGATGCTGCACATCAATCCAAGAAATAGTATTTATGCATAATTATATAATTAAATAAAACCATACATACATTTGTCACTCTATATAGTATGACTTCACTTGAAAGTTGGCAGAATTTATAGAATTTTCAAAGTAAGTCTGACCAGAGTCAGGTGAATGAGTCATGAGTACATACAGAAATTGTACAGCAAACCTTTAAACTCATACTTTATTAGCTCATGTGGAAGCAAAATCAACCTGCTGAGAATTAAGGAAACAAATGAAATCCAGAACACATGATGGACTAACAGATTAAAGTAAGCGTTCACTTTGATGATGAATATTAGGTATATCTGTGTTACCTTGCTATATCAGTGCAAATGTCAATGCAAACTTTGAGTCTTTCTCATTTTTATGTATCTATCACATCTCAGGTGTTTTGATTGCCATAATAAAGAAAAATGTTGAGTGACTGATATTTCTGGAATGTCCTTGCATTTTTTGAGACAGCTAAACAACAACAACAAAAAAGCCAAAAACCAAGAACAATGCAAAAATTCCCTTCTTTGATGACTAGAGTATAAGTACAATTTGTAAAAATTATGACAAAACTGAATTATAGCACAATCATATTATTTTTAACTGTTTATATTTATCTCACATACAAATATCATGGCTTGGTTGCATCGTGAATGTACATCTAAAAAAGTATTCTTGAGCCCAGGCGCAGTGATGTACATTTGTAATCCTAGTGGGAGGTTGACACAGGAAGAGTTCAAAGCCAGCTTCAGCAACAGTGAGGTACTAAGCAACTCATTGAGACCCTGTCTCTAAATAAAATACAAAAAGGCTGGGGATATGGCAGTGGTTGAGTGCCTCTGAGTACAATCCCAGTACCTCCTTTCCCCCAGAAAACAACAAACACTTTAAGGAGACAAATAGATGATACAAGCCAGACTTTAGTCTATAGGATGTGATAAGAATAAGCTATAACCCTTGTGCACACCTGCTCCCAGATATTTAAAGCCAATTTACCTTAAACACTGGGCTCACCAAATTTATGTATAACTTACAGAAAAACTCCTGTAGTATTTTATTGCATTAAATGTTTAAAATAGAATTTCATAATCTCTATGCGAATTTCAATTTCTTCTGTTTCATCTCAAACACAGGCATAATTACCTAATGGGGCTGGAAGCAGAGTCTGGATCCCTTGCCATTACAGTCCCGATTATTGTGCCCACTTCAATATCTTCATGAACCTCAAAGAGGTAGGAGGACCTGCTGAAAACAGGAGGTTCATCTACATCTTCTATAGAGATTTTCACAATTGTGGTATCTTTGAATGGTCCTAGATAATAAAAACGTGGGTCCACATGGGTATTTTCTGCTTCAACCTTCAGAGTGTAAAGTCTCCGGCTCTCATAGTCAAGTGGCTGTAAAAAGACACATGTCATTCAATTAAAGTGAGGGGAATTGTATGACATGCTCATTTCAAGTTACAGAATTATTTTTAAAATCCAGGTTGAATGCATTTGATTTGCTTATTAATAAGTTTAGAAAGTAGCACAGATAATTATATAATCCTTAAATATTGTTTAGGATTCAATTTTTATTTTTTATATATTCAAAATGTAACACTTTGGAACTTAAGAAAATGAGATTTTAAACCTTGCAAAAAATTGGGCTAGATGTTCAAACCTATCTCATAGGTGGTAATTCCCTACAAAAAAAAATGTACTGGCAGATTATGTATATGTTGGCATGCATACATGTGTGTGTTGAGGTATTGGGTACTACTAAATTTTTCTAAGCAAAAAAAGTGAAGCTGGGTGCGATGGCATACACCTCTAATCCTAGCAGCTTAGGAGGCTGAGGCAGGTGGACTGTGAGTTCAAAGTTAGCCTCAGCAAAAGTTAGGTGCTAAGCAACTCAGTGATACCTTATCTCTAAATAAAATACCAAATAAGGCTGGGAGGGGCTGTGGATATAGCTCAGTTAGTGGAGTGCTTACTTCGCATGTGTAAGGCCCTGGGTTCAATCCCCAGCATCAAAAAAAAAAAAAAAAAAAAAAAAAATTAGTGCTAGGGTTGTGGCTCAGTGGCTGAGTGCCCCTGAGTTCAATCCTCGGTACCAAATTTTTTTTTTAAATTTTAAATTTACAAAATTTTGGTGATAAATTTCCATACTTGCTTGAAAGAGTCAAAATAAAAAAAAAATCTCAGGAATAAGAAAGGAGAATATCCTGTACAACCACAAGAATGAGAAGTTATACTTCATGTATACATAACATGTCAAAATACATTCTACTGTCATGTATAAGTAAAAATAACACATAAAAAAGAGAGCACAGATTTAATAGCAAGTTGGCATGAGGATGCATTAATAAACAAAAAAGGGGCTTTAAATATCAATATAGTTTAACTGTTAAAAATAAAGAACTATGTCCCTCACCTCACATTCACTCTGAAAGATAAGTTTTATTAACAGAGAAGACATTGCTGAATCAGACTTCCTCCATTTTCTTTTTCATTTTTAGATGCACAAGATTCTGTTTGCATGAGTGCTACATTCTGGTCATGGAAAATAATAAAGCTGCTTTGCCCTTTGCTGGTCACTGTTTAATGAAGTTTGAGTACCTCCTGCCTTGCCATGCACTCTCAGGATAATTTTCTTATTAACCAGTGCCTCAGTAGTTACTTGATGCTTGGCATTTCATTAGAAATTATTATTTTTTTAATTTTCCCTACATTTTCATAAGATGGCACTGATCCTACAATAACGTAACTGGTTACCTTTAAATTGTATCACTGAACATATGTTAGCAGAAAAGTTTAATTTACATAGCATAAGGGGAAATGTGAACAATTGAATTATGTTCCAATCCATTCTGTTTTTATTAGCATCTCTAGTTATTGCTTCATGAATCTGGATGGTGTACTACATTTTATGCCTTCAACTATAATGATATATTGCTCTTATTAGCTATTAAGCATTTTCTTAAGAAAATAATGTTATTATAGTGGCCTTTTATTAATATGACTTGAAAATATAATCACACATACATTAACTTTTTAAATTTTGTAAAATCTCAAGACTCATGTTTCAATCAACAGAAACACAGTGAACATGTCTAAGAAGCTTTTGGCTTTATATCCTTCTTACTTAAGTAAACTATGAATTACATTCAAGCATGGCAGTGATATATCTTTTAATGGATAATGCTTGAGTGAAAAGTACATAATAAAACCTCAACTCTCTAAACACATGATGCTTATTTCTGCTGACGCAGAGCACCTTTTTCACAGTTATGATGCCTTCCTGGGTGTCCTTCTCAGTTATAATGTCAAACATATCAGTCCCATCACCATCAATAATTCGGTATTCCACTTCAGCATTTTTCCCAGTGTCGGCATCGGTTGCTTTCACACTTCCAACAGCTGTGCCGACTGGGGAAGACTCAAGAACCCGAAGATGAATGGTGTCTGCAGAGAATAAGAAGAGATGAATAGAGAGATTTCTGAACAGAATTTTCAGAAGTAAAATGTATATGAGAATCCTGTAAATCTTAAACTCTACATTAGATGTTGATTGAATTATACTTTGAGTATACCAATTATGGTTAACATTCTTTTAAAGTCTAGGAGCATGAGGGCTTTGACTTGTGTGTGTGTGTGTGTGTGTGTGTGTGTGTGTGTGTTAAAATGAATACTGAGTACCAACCTCTAATAGTATCAGGATTTCTGGTTTTGAAAATAAGCATGTTGTCTTTTTTTTTTGTTGTTTGCACCGATTTGCTTTGAGTGCAGTTATATATCTATGTGTGTTTATACAATCACAATAAATCACAGGATATACAGTGACTATTTCTATTTAATTAATTTTGCTATGTTGTATTTGGTAATTTTCTTCTCTTCCTTTAGCTTCAAGACAGAACATTCCAAAATTCCAGTGAAATCAGCTGTAACAGGTGGGAATCTTATTTCTATTTGTGACAACAAAAAACAAAGGAAAGTCTATGGCAGAAATATCAAGATGCCCTTCTCAGTGTCAGAGAAAAAAAAAAACACTAAAATCTGACAAACTCTCCTTCCTTCCAGAGCAAAACAAGAATTTATCTAAGCCCTTGGTGTACCTGGATGTGCTTCCAGCTTGAACAACCTCTACTGCTAATGAGATTTATGTTTAGCACCTGGTCATAAACTACATATTTCTGACAGGTTAATCGACTGGAAGCACAGTTCTGATTATTGCGCCTTCTTGCTCATAAACCTTAAGTAATTCTCCTTAATATACATAATAAAGTTCAGTCCTCTTGTCTAGCCGTGTCATTGCCTACGTATATCTTTCCTAACATATTTGGCTTTTGTTCACTTTCATGAAAGATTTGCATCGAACTAGACCATTTAGTTTTTTCTGACCCCTACTTTCTTTCCAACATCATTCTATATATTTTTCTCATGCTATTTCCCTCAAGTAAAATCCTCTCCCCATTACCCAAATATATTTAAAATGCAGTTTGTCAGAAGAAAATAGCACTTTCATGGGCGAAGTGCTTTAGGAATGGTGTTATGCCAAGGGATCGGGGGCAGGGGGCGGCTCAGAAGAAATAAACCTGTTGACAGCATGATTTTAGAAATCTAGCCTCTAGAACTGTGAGACGATAAATTTCCTTTTCTTTAGGCCACCCAGCCTATGGAATTTCTGTGGCAGATGTAACAACCTAATACAGGCATATACATTCACTCAGTTTTAAAAGTAATTTTCTAGGAGAACATTGTGAAAACTCAGTTTTCATCACATACCAGTCGGTCTCAGAGGGTATTTGCTTACCTTTTTCTCTGTCTCTGGTATCACGCTATGGAAAGTCAGTTAACTCATTTCTTGACTACTATCCTACTGCCTCTCCTGGCCTTTTTCATCACTTCACTTTGGAACACCTGAGCCCTGGGTATTTGGATGGTTCCCTTGATCATCTCCTTCAAGTACTTGTCCAACTATAACCTTCTCAGAAACATTCCACTAGTAACCTAATTGCAAATAGACTGGTCAGAAGCAGTAATCCCAGTCATGCTTCTTACCTCTTTCCATTTCTGGGCACTATACTATCTGCATACATACTTATGTATGCCACAAGGACATAAAACATAGGCTGGTTGCATTTTTTCACCAATGTTTTCCCTCTGAATATTGTAAGCACTATATGATGATTGTTCCCATTTTACTTAAGGTACAACAAAAGATCCATAGGCTGACTTTCCCTAATTTTGCTCTTTCATTCTCTTCCTTAATTTATACTTACCAGTAACATCTGTCTCCTTGAGGTTTTCTGACATGTTTTTCTTACTTCAGTTTAATACATTTTTCCTCCTCATAAAAAATTACCCATTTAAATCTATAGAACTGCTTATCATTTGTTTGATATATGCCTGTATCATCAATCTTCTAGTGCAGAACTAGAACTCTAGCCTTCTTACTTCAAGAACTTTCTTTAAAAAATTAAATGTCATACAATCAGTACATCAACAAATCAATCTATTAAAATACAGAGAAATGTCGTTTCTGAAATGCAAAAATGATCACAATACAGAAAGAATACAAAAATGATCACTACAATACATAAAGAACTCATTATGAAGGTCAACTGTTTAATTTCATTTGTTTTAGAAAGCCTAGAATCTGATCTCTGCTAAAAACCTTAGTATTTTTATTATCTATTTTCAAATCTACAGTACATAAGAAATGCAGCCAAGCTAATGTGTTCTCAACTAAGTATCAGTTAACCATCCCCAAAATTACAAATATATGATATGTTTAGAAAACAAATATAAATAATATGAATGATTTGATTTATATGTACATAAAACTGAATGGCACCCATTTTGAGATTACATATTATTTTTAAGCAGATATGCACTTATTGCAATATGATCAAGGACTAGTTTATTAGGCAAGTTTGAGTAAATTTTTTAAACAGTATTTATTAAACTCTTTGATTATGCCACAAGCTAGACATTAGTACAAAATGATAAATTAAAATCTTTATATTCTTGAAAAAACTTGAAAGAAAAATATCAAAATTAACTTATGAATGTTCAAATTAAGAAGAAAAAACAAGTTGAGGGGAAAATCCTACAATTGAAGAAGTAATGAAGTAAAATGTGGTGCACAGAAAATACTACCAAAAGAAGATAATTTATCAATTTGTATACTTATAAAAAAATAAAGACAAGATGAAATTAAATTAATAGTTTAAGCATGAAACATAGGAAAATGACATGAACACAAAGCTAGAGAAATAGGAGATAGTAAAAAAAATATAGAAACTAATAAAGTTGATACATATAAAAGGAAGAGATTAAAAATATAAAACATTGTTTCTTATATTAAAGACCTTACAAAACAATCAAATGTCTGGAAAAGTTTCTTATGGAAAAGGAATCTTCTTAACAGAAAAAGACTACAACTGCAGAAGATTGGAAAATTAGAAAATATTAGAAATATTGATATGTTGAAAAATGAATACAAATAATTTAAACTATACCAAACCCTACTAATGAAGAAGTAAAGGATGATTTTAAAATCATCTACCCTTCAGACACAAATAGCTCATTTTTCAAAGAACAGAAAATTTATGGACCAGAAAATTCTAGTTTTATGCAAAGTCTTCCAGAGAACAGAAAGGAAAGACTGTTTTCTAACTCATTATACGAGATCAGTATAACCCTGGTAAAGAAAGCAAATGATAAGTGTTTGGTGGGTAATATAGTATGGTCAAAATTCCAAGTCTACCACATGTAAATACTCAGTCCATTTTTTATATTTCATAATCTCAATTGTAAAGTTCAGTTTATGCCAAATATTTTTCTAATCACTTTTCTATTATTATGCCGGATTTGTGGGACCCCAATAGACCTCCAGGAGCTGAATCCCATGCAATCACACAAAAGTCTTTATCGCAAGCTCGAGCCTGGACTCACAATTGTCCTGATGCAGTGGTCCCAGGGAGTGAGTCCTGGTCCTTTGTTCAGTGAGATTTTATAGGTTTTGGGGGGATACTCTATGCATCACAACACCACATAGCAAATCATTCCATACCGCAGGAAAATCAAACAACAACTCTTAACAATGATTAGTACATTCAATGGCGGGAACAAATTGGGTAGGAGTGATTGGTTAGTACAATAGGGGGATTCCTTTGAACTGATTGGTTTAGGCCATGAGGGGTGTATGTGCTAAACTACCTGATTTCCCAACATGTTATCAACCACCATAAACTACTTGGGGGTCATCTGGCATTCCAGGTATTTTCCCTGTCTCATGGTGATTGGAGGTTGCTAGGGGGGTTGCTATGGGTCCTCACCTAACCTAACTGAGTCAGGGACACCTGGCACCAAGGACCTCTACTGTTATTTACAGACAAACAACTCAGCAGGGTGGGTATGTGCCTAGGAGTGCTCTGTGGGTTTTTCCAAGGACAAGGGTCACACCCCCTTCCTTGGACAGGCTTTGCTCTGAGGTAGAGTCTGGTTTCTCAAAAATGGAGTCACATTAGTTTCTCACTATTAAATTTCTTACTCTTTGAATTTCATCATCTTTTCCATTAGTCTTTAGGAGATCTCATTTTGCTTTTGGTTATCATATCTCCTTACTGACTTCCAGTGTGTGAGTTCAGGCTTTGTTTTCACTCCTGTTCATACTTTACAGGAACACTAGTCAGTTCTTTCAGAGTATCTTCAAATTGGGTTTGTCTGATATTTTCTCATGAGTAGATTAAGGCTATGCACCTTTGTGAGATACATCACAAAAGGGATGTGTTCTCAGTATGTCATAACTTGTCAGGGAGTATATGCTGTCGATTTTTCTTAGGACTGATGAAATTAACCTTGGTCACCTGGCTAAAGTGTTTCTGCGAGGTAATAAATGTCATCAAAATTGATGATAAAATTATTATTATTTTTTTTTTCAAATGCTTTTTATTTTATTTACTCATGCAGTCATCACATTCACATATTATTGGCAGTTACGTTCCATTCAAAAGAATTGAGTCATGGGGCCTCATCTAGGTAAAAAGAAGACTAGAAATGGACTCTAGCTGAATAGCCAAGTGCAGCAGTCTGCTACAATAAGTATATACATGTCTATGCTTTGTACATATATGAATTCAAATTTATTAAATGATACTATTCAAATTTTATGTATTTCTATTATTAGTTTTTCCTATTTAAGCTCTTAATTTTTGAGAAAGAATTGATAAAATTTTTCTGCTTCAATTGTGCATATGTCCATGACTACTTACTCTAGCCTCTATGTTTTCCTTTACATTTTAATGTTAGCTTGGACTTCTTTATATTCTTAGACATATCCTTAGATCCTGAAAGTTGGTCTGCTGTGAACTTGCTATAATAGCTCTGGTGAAGTATCAAAAATTATTTTTCATTTTATTTAATTTCTTGATTTGTACAGGACAATATCCATTACAAGG